CCACCACGCCAACTCCTAGCCAACATGATAAACTGAAGCTCAGAATGGAGACATCCCCACAAAATCCTCTGAGTAAAACACAAACCAAGAACAAAGGGTCTTCAGGAGCCCCCTCTCCTATTGCCCAATTTTGATACCACTCCAGGGTAGCCAGACAACCCCACCCCACAGCTGCTCATTGGGGCTAAATCCTAGCCCACCTCCCTCTGCACCTCTCAGCCTCTGAGCAGATATAATCTTTACTGAGCAGGTAGGAGGGCTTCTGTGTGACCTCAGACCCCCCAAAGGAACCTGCTTTTGATTTGCCCTAGATCCTGGTTACTGCTTTTTTTGTGTTAATAGAGTTGCAGAGTTTCTGTTGAATTTAATGTCTATGGAAGGCTTAGCATGAGCTGTGTTGATAAGACATAGATTATTTCTTGTGACCATTCTTCTCAGTCTCCCTTGCCCTTGAGTTTTATTCCCAGTAGAGTTTAAGAACAGAAGAAGTATATGATATCATAAAAATTTGAGGCCCACCCAGGGCCATAAATTTGATAAGTTGCAACCCTAATAACTTCATACATCCAAATGCTTCCAACCTTGCTTTGGAGTAAACTCCTTCCTGGTAGAGGTCCCTGTCAGGGGGACAGTGGGACATGGAAACTATACAGTCATTTTCATGACTTTGTGTATGGGGGAGGGGGCCGGGCTGGGAATTGAACCCAGTGTCTTGTAGCTACTAGATAAGTGCTCTCGTGCTGAGCTTCATCCCAACCCCCAGCCTGTTTTCACGATTCTTTTTTGTAATTTTATTTTTATTTTATGTGTTTGAGTGTTGTTTTGCCTACCTATTGTGAGTATACCACATATATGACTGGTGCCTAAGGAGGCCAGAAGAGGGCATCAGATCTCCTGGAACTGGAGTAAGGACAGGTGTTAGCCACTATGTGGATGCTGGTGCTTAACCCTGGTCCTCTGCAAGAGCAGCCAGTGCTCTTAACTGCTGAGCCATCTCTTCAGCTTCTGTTTTCATGACTTTTGATGGGTGTCTGCTAGGACATCCTGCAGAAAGCATAAGCTAACTTAATGACATTATTTTTTCTAGTTTGAGGAACATTATATTAAACAGTTTTTATTTGCATATATAATACAGTTGGTCCTCCATATTCACAGATTGTGTATGTGAAGATTCAACCAACCACTGCTCAAAATAATTTTTTAAAGAATTATACTAAACATATACAAATGTTTTCTTCTTGATACCATTTCCTAAGCCATACAGCATCACAACTATTTATACAGCATTTGTATTGTGATAAGTTGTGGTACTCTAGACATGATTTAAAGTACACAGGAAGATATGCACAGCTCCATGCAAATATTATATATGTTCTTGTGTGTGCAGGTGCATGTGCATTCATGTGGAGGCTAGAGCACAACTTCAGGCATCAGATGCTATCCCCTTTCTTCCTTCCTTCCTTCCTTCCTTCCTTCCTTCCTTCCTTCCTTCCTTCCTTCCTTCCTTCCTTTCACTTTGTTTTGATTTGTTTTAGACAGGGTCTCTCTGCCTTTTAATTCCCCAAGCAGACTAAACTGACTGGCCAGCAAGCCCCAGGTATCCTCCTGTCTTTGCCTCTCTAGTGCTGGGATTAAAAGAGAGTGCCACCCCACCCAGCCTTTTTACAGATTCTAAGGATCAAACTCAGGTCCTTATGCTTATCAGGCAAGCACTTCATCAAGCCCTCTCCCTAGTCACCATTTCAGAGGCCAAGTCTCGATCATTATTCAGCTCTGCTTCCTCCCCGGCTGGGATGGGATCGTACCATGTGCTCTGTGTTTGAACAGCCCCGGTATTACTGTGGAAATATGGGGATGAATGCCACCATCTCCTTCTCTAGGGATGGCAGGTATGTGGAGATTCTATGGGAATGTGGCTGTGACTGATTGTTGGGACCTTGGAGCTGGGTGGGTGCCAACTCCTATGTATATGGCTTGATTCAGGGTCCTTTCCTGCCCAAGCCCATCCCTTATGTTCTCTTTCATCCCTGACCTTCTATGGCTGTTCTGGTCTTGCCTCTGGCCTCTCTGTCCCTCCAGTCGGCCCACCAGGCCACCTACCTCCAGTCTTTTCTTTCCCATAGACTACTGCTTAAATGCTGCACACTCCCTTTTGCTGAGGGATAAGGGAGTGGGTCCCTTGACTTGTGCCAGAGGCTCTTCACTGTCTCCCTTTTCAACCTGCTCAAGTGCCCCACTCCTCACACCCACTTCTTCCCCATACCCTGCCCTCTGTGTGTGACCTGCCACCATGGACATACTACAACCAGTGGGCCTTCACACATCATCCGTTTTTCCATTCATTCCCCCAGCCCCCATCTCCTTGGGAAGGGTTCTCCCTGTGCTAGTCAGTCATTTCTGACCAGAGTTCCTCCCCTAACAAAGTGAGAATAGAGTAAGCAAATCCTGGGTCCCCAGGGAGGATGCTCAGTTAGGCCACTCGTGCTTCAGAAACCACACTGAGGTGGGCCTGCAGCCATCAAGCCCCCAGGGTCCTCCTGGTTGGAGAGCCAGTAGCTGTTCAGCCCCATCATTGGCTGCGTGAGCCCAGGAAAGTAGACAGGTGCTTCAGTGAAAAGCGGACCTCAAAATCAAGGCTTTGACAAGTGTGATCTCCAGGAGGGCAGCTCTTCCCTGTGCTCGCTGGCAGTTGAGACCCCGTCCTTTGAAACTGTTGAGAAGACTCGGTCTTATGTGTTACACTCTGACAGATCATTGTGTTTCAACAGAAATAAATTCATTCAAAACAAATTTTTTAAAAAATCAAGGCTCTGATACAGACAGATTTGGATACTCCCAGAAATCTTTGGCCTTGTGGTCCTGAGAAGTTTCTTTTCCTTTTCTAAGCATATAACATAATAGGTTTCATTATGCAGTTGTCATGTGTGTATATCATGTACTTTGCTAAGATTCACACCACCCATCGCCGTTTCTTATTCTGCCTCCTGCTGCTCCCTCTCCTTTCCCCAAATAATCCCCCTTCTATTTTCATACTTTAAAAAAAAAATCTAGATTCCACTCACAAGAGAAAACATAATATTTATCTTTCTGAGTCTGACTTATTTCATTTAACATGGTGATCTCCAGTTCCATCCATTTTCCTGCAGATGGCATAGCTCTGCTCTTCTCTACGGCTAAGCGAACTCTCTTGTGTGTCTTATACCATCGATCCTGAATGAAATGTAGGGGGCTTCTGTCTTGGCTATTGTGAATAGTGTCATAATAAACATGGACGTGTAGGTGCCTCTTAGATTCCGGAGTATATACCCTGGAGTGGCCTTTGGCAGTTTCAGTGTGCTTTTTTGTCCCCAGACCCACCTTATTGGGTCACTATGTACATTAACTGAGGCAGTGTCTTCCCAGAGGCTCAACGCCTAGAAAGGCTGGATGAACAGCTGCCAGTAATTCAAGGGAAAAACCATGCCAGCTTTCAAGGCTGGGTTCGGGCCCCTGCTCTGCCCCTTGAGAGATAAAGCCTGAGCCCACAGCTTAGCATCTTGGAGCCTGCCTCCCTTCCTCCCCAGTGGAGGGAGAACAAGCCACTGTCTTCCTCCTCTGCAGTCACAGCACATGTCAATGACTCAAGTGGGCCAATACATGTCACCCCCAGACACTGGATCATTTTAGGGCTTCAGTTGCTTTGACTGGTCCAGGGCAGGAGGATTGTTGCTGTCCCAAGGCCTCTGTAGCTGGCAGGGACAAGGCATGCAGTGAATGCTCCCTGCGACTCCCCTTTGCTCAGGCCCTGTGCAGCTGGCCAGCCTGGCCCTGCTCAGGGCACAATCAGAACTGCAGCTCAGCCATGTCCACCCACACATACCTTGCCTGCTGTGGGAAGAATCTTTTTTCTCAAAATATACATTCTTTTTTTATTCCTTTACTTTTATATCTTAGGGTACAGATTTCCCTCATCTAAGGAAAGTCTTTGCTGATGATTTCTGAGGAAAGGCATTTCAGAAACCCTTTAGCAAACATGGGCTCCAGGACTCACAGGCTGCTTGCCAGCCTCTTCGTTACCCTGTGCCAGCATTAAAACAGCAGTAGGGCCTTGAAGCAGATGTTCCTGGACACAGCCTGGGTGAACAGGAAGGGGAACAAGGGTGCCATTGTGTGAGGAGTGAGGGGGAGGGAAGGTGGGAGCAAGGACAGAGCCACCCAGCCCCTTGCACAGAAGCCCCAACTGACTTGCATGCAGAAGAGGGCTAGCTGGGCAACCTGGGCGTGTCTCCACCCCTCAGAGCATCAGCTGCATTGGCAGTGCTGGGAATGGTACATTGTCTACCCTGAGCCAGTGTCTACACGTAGAAAGCATCCTGTATGTGAGGGCCATGTTGTGCTGGGGATATGGGTGAAGATCGGCAGGAAGAAGAGCCAGGTTTAGGTATGGCAGTCGGAGAGTAGGGCCTTGACTGTGGCATGGGAGTCTCCAGGAAGACTTTAGAGTGGGAGTGGCATTGGATTGGACCTCTGAGGGTGAGTGAGGTAAGGCTCCAGACAGAAGGGACATGATAGAAAAGACTCCAAGCAAGGGTGCTCAAGTGTTTGAACAGTTAGAATGGATAGGAGCTGGGCATGGAATGGAGGCAGAGCGGGGTTGGCCAGGAAAGTGTTGATGGACCTGGGTAGGCTTCTGTCTTCTGCAGGTTTATGTTCCACCCAGTTTGGCCGACTCTTGATCACAGGCTGCAGCCTAGTGGAACTGGTGCCCTGGTGGAGGCAGGCACTTAGAGGTGGGCCCCCTCCATAGCCCCCTCTCCAAGATCTATCATTCCAGCCCCCCACACACACACTTTTCTTCCTCACCTTCCCATGGACTCAGCTGGACCTGTGCCAGCCTTGGTTAGAAGCAACACTGAGCACCATCTAGGGTGCTGATCATTCTGAGTGGTGCTCTGCCATTCTTGGCCCAGACTGCAGAGCCTCTTTGTGGCTACAACCACAACAACTGTTTCCCTCCACAGATGACTCTGGGGACGACGACGAAGAGTCTGCTGCCCCAGCTGACAAGAGCGAGCTCCACCACACCCTTAAGAACCTCTCCTTGAAGTTGGATGATCTCAGCACATGCAATGACCTTATTGCCAAGCATGGCGCTGCACTCCAGCGTTCCCTGAATGAGCTGGACAGCCTCAAGATCCCATCTGAGAGTGGGGAGAAGCTGAAGGTGGTGAATGAGCGAGCCACCCTTTTCCGAATCACATCAAATGCTATGATCAATGTGAGTGCTCCCCACAACTGCTTGCTGCCATAAGGCTCCCCAGCCGGGAAAGGGTACCCACCAGCACCAAGTCCCTGAGTGGGCAGATGCTTGACAGGCCAGGGCTCTGCTTCCTGTGGCTCTAGGTCACTTTCCAAAGCTGCCACCCTTCTACATACAGCCATTGTCTGGTGAGGATATTTATTTATTTATTTATTTTTCATGGAACTGGGGACAGAATCTAGGGTATCACACATGTTAGGCAAGTACTCCATCACTAAAATCCTCTACCTGAGGACAATTTTAAAATTTTATTTATCTAGCCAGGCATGGTGGCACCCACCTTTAGTTCCAGCACTCAGGAGGCTGAAGGAGGCAAGTCTCTGTGAGTTCGAGGCCAGCCTAGTCCTCATAGCAAGCTCCAGGCCAGCTGAGGCTACAGGGAGACCCAGTCTCAAAAACACCAAAAAAATTATTTATTTTTATTCTGTGATATATGTTTTCCCTGCATATGTGTAATGCTAGAAGAAGGCGCCAGATTCCTTGGAGCTGGAGCTATAGATGGCCTGAGCCACCGTGTGGGTGCTGAAAACTGAACCTGGGTCCTCTGTAAGAGCAGCCAGTGCTCTTAACCACTGAACCATCTCTTCAGGCCCCCATGAGGACATTTTAAAAAAATTCCTGTGTGCGTGTGTGTGTGTGTGTGTGTGTGTGTGTGGAGGTCAGAGGACAACTTTGTAGAATATCTTTTTCCACCATGTGGGTTCCAGGAATTGAACTCAGGTCATCAGGCTTGATGGTAAGTGCCTTTACCAGCTGAGCCATTTCACTGGCCCCAGTGGAAGCAAGTTTGTTTGTTTGTTTGTTTGAAGCAGGGTCTCACTGTAGCTCAGATGGATATGGAACTCATTCTGTAGCCAAGGCTGGCCTTGAGCTCACAGCTGTTCGCCTACCTCAGCCTGCCAAGTGCTGGAATTACAAGCATGAGCCATGACACCTGGCCTTCAAGGACATTCTTTTGGCTTATCTGATAAAAAGGAGTTGCTATAGAATCTGGCCAAGGCCTGCATGGGTGGAGAAAGTCCAGGCCCCAAGTTGAGAAGCCATCCCAATAGGCCTGCTCAGCCTACAATAGTGGGGACATGGCTATGACACTGGCCTTCACAGCTGTTCCTGTTCCCTTCCCTGTGCACACCAGGATTAGGAGCCAAGCCTGGGGACAGGAGACATGAGACATGTGTATATGGCTAAGGGCCTCCAAGTGTGGCTCAAAGGCCATCAGACTGACAGGAAACAATGGGTGCCCAGATGAACCCCAACTGTTTCCCAGGCCCTGCAGCTCAGGGATCAGAACAGAGCTAGCCTGAGTTAGCACCAGGCTCTAGGCCCAATGGAAAATCTGAAGGTTGGGTAGGAAGGTAGAGACTACAGCCCATTATAAGCCTAAATCTGGGCATCCAAACTCTGCCCCAGGCCTGTTTCATCAGTCTGTTCAGCAGCATGACTGTGGGACAAAAGGCCCACTCACCACCGTGCTCAGGCTTGGAGGGTCTGGGTGTAACCTTGAGAGTCTGCACCCTGAGGCCCAAGGCTGAGCAGGAGTACCGAGATGCATTCCACAGATGCATATGCCTGTGTCTGTCCTCAAAGCCCACAATGCTCAGGGCTAAGGCCATCACACAGTGACAGGCACACTGAGGGGCTGCTGTGCTGCATCTCTAGCCACTCTGCCCTTGTTGTATTTCATTCCTTCTCTTGGATCACTGTCCTCCTTATAGCTCACAAGGCCCTGGTCCAATGACCCACACAGGCATTAAGCATAATGACACAATGCCCTGTGTGTGTGTGTGTGTGTGTGTGTGTGTGTGTGTGTGTGTGTCCTGCCACCACACCCACCTATACTGCCTCCCACCTAGACAGAAGCTGCCTGGCCTTGAAGAAGCAGGTTTGGCTCTTCCAGGATAATGAGCCTTGTAGCTCGCTGTACTCTGGCAACTCTTTTACCAGCCATCAGAGACTCATCAGTGTTTGCAAAGCCATAAAACTGCTCAGTCTAAGTGCATAATGAATTGCTTTATGGGCAGCATAGCCCCCGGGGCTTGATTATGAGGCCTGCTTCAGTTCCAGCCCGGAGGAATCCTGTGACCGTCTACCTCAAGTGGTGGAAACTGCAGCTCAGCATCAGAATCTGTGGAGTGGTTGGTGTGAACCTGACCTAGAGTGCCTTTTCAGGGAGTGGAGGGAAGGACTGGGGAGTTGCTCCGGGGGAGCTTCACCACCATCATTCCTTACCTGACAGCAGGGACAGGATCTGTTCTGAGAGGGCTGTTCCTATGGCTCTCAGACATCAAGCATCCAAATCCTCACTGGGTACTGAGGGGGACACATAGCCAAGGTTGGCTGAGGGTCCTGGGACACACAGCTCACTCCTGGTCACCCCTGGCCAGGGCTTGGCTTCTGGGCATGTTATAAAGAGAAGGGTGGACGCCAGGCATGGTGGTGCATGCCTGTAGTCCCAGCACTTGGGAGGCAGAGGCAGGTGGATATCTGTGAGTTCAAGGCTAGCCTGGTCTACATAGTGAGTTCCAGGCCAGCTGGAGCTACAGGGAGACCCTGCTTCAAAACGACCCCTCCCCCAAAAAGGAGAAGGATGGACCAGGAATCTGTAACTGAGGTGGCTATGTATCTTCTACTCCTGATCTTTGATCGTATGTGGATCCTGTCAGTATCACTAGGTGTTGTTAGCATCAGAGTACAAAGCAAGGCTCACAGAAGCCACCTGAGTTCCTGGTGTCACCAAGCTGCCATGCAAAGCGAGGTCTGTGTGACCCACTGCAGAAGTGATGGCCTCTCGGGGTGGGACTCCTGAGGGATGCAGAAGGCCCCTCCTGGCCTGGCTCAGGGGAGGTCAAGGCCTAGAGGCCTCACTCCTCAGGACTTCTCTGAGTCTAGGGTATGTTGGTATGTCACTGGGGATGGAACTAGGGCTTCTCATATGTTAAGCACACACTCTACAACCACACCGTATCCCTAGCCCATGGCATCCTGGTATATCTTTTACCATGTGGCCTCTGATCACTATGGCTGAGATCCAACCCAGAATCCCTCCTGGAAGGCTGGGACTTGGAGATAGAAGGTCACCCCCAGAACTGTCTACGGAAGGCACAAATCACCATTTCCCAATCTCTCAGATGGCCCTAGAAGAAGAAGCTGTTTCTTCCCACTGTGGATTGCTGTTCCCCACCTCTGGTTGTGATAAGAGTCCAAGCTTCCATCAGCCACACCCAAGTCTGGAAATCTCTTCCCAATGGCCTCTCAGGCAGGAGAGGCTCTCCCCCCAGCCCTGGGGAGTGGCTGTTTCCCATTTTCAATTCTGACTGTGACTGGGTCCTAATAGAACCCCAAACAGAGCCTCACTTTCCCCCAAGATAGTGAAGAATCTGGCATTATTCAGCCTTCAGGAAAATGATCCTTTAAATTAATGAAAAGGGGCCAGACCGTAAGCTTTTTGGTTCCAAACTGCCAGTGAAACAGGAGAGGGAGGTCCCCTGGATAGACCCTAAGAGCCCAGGCTGCATGGCTACTGGTGCAGGCCCATATGCCCACTGTTCCCCAAGGGCAGGGCAGCATCTTCACCTCTGGCCCAGTATGCCACTTCCTATATTTGAGGGAACAAGGTGCTTAGACTGGAGACACCAAGTGACACTGTAGTACCTTTACCAGTGCTGTGCCATCCTTCTTACCTGATGTCACTATGGCCATGTGACTTACATAGTTAGGGAAGCCCTGCTCAGTGGGCATATAACCCAGTCCTTAGTGAGCCCTCCAGACAGGCTTGTGCATGGACTCAGCAGAAAATAGCCAGGGCTTTCCTGTCCCTGGAGCTCACACCCCAACAATCCTTGCTAGTAATGTTGTCACATGTACATTAGTGGTGTGATCCTCTTAAGGAAGTCAGTCCAGGTCCAGCAGCTAACCAGCCAGTATTTTTAAAAATATTTTATTATTTTTATTTTATGTGTATGAGTGTATTGCCTGCATGCATGTGACTGCACCTGTGTTGTGCAATGCCTCAGAGGTCAGAAGAGGGCTTCGGATTCCCCTGGAACTGGAGTTAAGGACGGTTCGTAGCTGCCATATGGGTGCTGGGAATCGAACCCCGGTCCTCTGCAAGAGCAGTCAGTGCTCTTAACTCCTGAGCCATCTCTCCAGCCCACCAGCCAGTACTTTTAAAAACCAAGAATGGGGGTGTGGTAAGGTGAGACAACGGAGAGGCCAAGAAGGTGAGCTCAGGCCCAACCAACCAAAACCTCACAGGAGAGTGACACTTGGGTGCCAGTCATAGGCACCTCTGTTCCCTCGGAACAGTGACCACAGAGCAAGGCCTGACGGGAAAGAAGGGCTCAGAATTACAATAGTAAGGACATAAGTCCAGATCGTTCTGATTCCAGAGCCTTCTGCCTCATGGAAGGAAATCAGCCTATCCCTGCCCTTAGCTGGGGATTAAGAGGACAGGAAGACCTCCCCTGTGCACCCTTTCCCTCATCCTCATGTCAGCATCTTTAGCCAGCACTGTGGACCCACAGCATCTTGTGATCGTTTCACCCCAGTACTTGGCCTATTCTCCCCGAAAAGGGCACAATCCCCTTGGCAGTCCTGCAACCTTCGTGCTGCCACAGGGCCCAACACACATGACCTCAACAAACCAAAGAGGAGGGGAGAAGTGGGGGGAGGGGAGGAGGAGGGAAGAGGAGGAAAAGGAGGAGGAAGAGGAGGTTGGGGGGAGAGGTAGAGGGAAAATTGTAAAAGAACATAGGAGCAAATGAATGAGTCACTTAGTGTCTGGCAGAATTCCCTGGTGGGTAATTTTTCCGCTGATAAAAGCCAGTCCAGCGGATCCTGCTTGAATGATTTCCTTTGGATAGCTGTGAATTAGCCTGCCTCTTAGGGGAAAACTCGCAGCACTAATAAATTACTTGGGGTTTTGGAAAAAGCCTTGAACCCCTGTCTACATACCATGG